TTCAAATCGGAACTTTACATTCCTTTGGCTAGGACATAGGATGAAACTTGCAGACTCGCTCTCTTGGACCACAGTTTGTGTGATCTAGGCTGGGCCTTGCATTTAGCATCAAAGCATCTGTCATATATACACATGTATGGAAGTTCTGACAGTGTATTCAAATATCTTTTAGTAAAATATCCCCCCAAAATACTTTAAGGATTTGTAAATGAATTTCATTCTAATAACGGAAATACCCAGAAGCAGAATTCCCCCATAGGGTCCCCCCCTCCCATTATTAATCTATATTTAGACTGCTGAAAGTAGTTCAGTGGGCAGGGCCTATTTTTCTTTTCAATTCATCGAGTTATGAACATAAAGATATTTTCCTTGTTAGCCAATCAAATTACTGGAAATTACAAAGAATTTCTTTTTTTTTACAAAGAATTTATTTACTACACTTTGACAGTGAGACTAGACCTTTCTGTATTCTCTGCATGTATATTAGTGTGAACCCAACTCTTGTCTTGTTCCACAATGAAGACAGTGTGTGACTTAGAGATTACAAATTCTATATTACTATAAATCTTGAAATTAATGCATCTCCAAATTACTACGACCGCTGACACCTACCCGGTAGCCACAAATGTGACTCAATATCAATGTGACTCCCCTTACCTCAATCCCCAGTGGAATGATACATATCCTCACCTTAATCCTCCATTCCTATTCTTTGAATGACATTGTTACATACTTGTTACAACTGCTGCTCAATAAACCGTATTTGTGTTAATATTCAAGTTGGTATTTCTGCTATCCAAAGTCTTCAGTGAGGGCGTCTTATTGTTGATACTCATTTTGGAGACATAAACGCATAAAGTTTGATCAATGCGAAGAAATACCACTCGCATTTTTCTCATTTAGTTCACACTCGTCTTAAATTCAAGATCTACAGTATTTTAATGTGACCTCAGGGTACATCGTTCCACAAACACTATGACTCTCCTTAGTATGAAGAAGAAGAAGAATTTTTATTGTACAGAACACCCTCGTAGGGTAGGGTACAAACTATCTACATATGGACATGTATTTAATTATAGACATGAAAGGTAGATATACACGATGTACATTATACATAGAGGTATTACATGTTATTTCATTTACAGCATATAAACATTTATGTTTATCATGAGGTGGCTGGCAGCGTACACTTAGTGTTGATACTGCATTGATGGACTAGAAGAGAATTCCTCATGGCCTCAGTGGAATACAGTCCTGGCAACAAGACTTGACCATTCTTTTGGTGGGTTCATCAATTGTTTTAGGAGGTTGGTTTTATCAGTATGTGATGAAGTATAACAGTTATAGGAGCGTGACTTCTTTGTGGAATGTGCCATTCAATGTTTTGTTTCACCATAATGACAATTAGACTATATATGTCCTAACTCAGTTGGGGGGCATCTGGTAACCTTATGGTTGAAGCCTTCCCACGTCATGCCAGGCTTGAGTTCGATTCTTAACATGGGTACAACGTGTGAAGCGCATTTCTGGTGACCCTTCCATGATAATGGAATATTTCTAAAAGAGTTAGGAAAGTGTTAGAGTTTCCTTGCTTTTTGTGTATATTAAAAAGAGGATAAAGTGTACAAACAAACACAAACAATATAATCATCACTAATAACTGGTTAGCAACCCTATCTTATAAATAATAGGTTTTAAGTTTTCAACCAGTTATTTGGACTAAAAATCTGTGTTTTGTGTCTCTGTAGAAGTAGAAGACACATGCCTACAGCCAGCTCCTACAAAAAGTTATTTTTCTCATGAAACACAAAATTAATAGGTTTAACACAAAAATGACAAAATAATCACTTTTTTAAATTTCTTAAATTTGGAGGGGACCATGTCACAAAGTCTTTCTGACAATTTCAGCTGTTGAAGTAATTGAAACGCTTTAAAAAGATGGTTGACTGGATTATCTCACTTCACCAAATTAGACACAAGATGACAAATTGAAGGCATCATTCAACAATGTGATTTCTAAAGGATAGCGAAGCCCATTTCTGGCGCCCCTACCATATTGCTGGAATACTGCAACAAGCAACAACGGTTATAACTCACTTTTCTTAAGAATGGTAAATACCACAATCACAGCTGCAATCAAGGCATGGCAAGGGGAGATAACTAGGGTATGTGTTACATATCAGGCCCACATTGCCCAGAGATCATTAAGAGAGTGAATTGTGTTTATTTCAGTGTCAGTGTATTGTGGGATGGGAGCCAAATGAGAGACAGCTCATATGCATGTACCACCATGAGCAGGGTAAGGGTGCCAATAGACCAGAGTTAATAATTGAGGACAGGCTTGCATTTGAACCCATGATTTGACCAACGGGAAACAGCGATTGGCAACACCTCAATCTACTGGGCCACCCATGTCCTCTGGTACATATACAGAAATATTATAAATTTGGACAATCATCGTAAACAAAAACTAGACAAAAATTGTCCACAAAATGTTATAATGTCATGAAATAGCATTTTTCTTATCATTCGGAAACACTGATTCAAATGGTCCATTTTTCTATACCATTAAATTTTGGTTCAATTTAGATATTTTGTTTTCAACTGACTAAAAAGACACTTTCAATTATTTGATTTATTATTTGAGTCAATGTTCAAAATTTTAAAAAATATACAAGCTAAAAATTTGTATTTAAATATGATCTGATATGATATGTCAATGAAATATAGAAAAAATGATGATAGAGAATAACAACACAAAGAGTTATGTCCCATATTGACCTGCTTTGAAGTTTGTCTGAAGGGTAAAGAAAATGTTCACAAATCTATTATTTTATTCCTCATTTGTGAAATTTGGGGTCAGTAGATCTATAAACTAATGAGACAAGGGTGGCCCGACTTAGCTGTTTATGTAGCTCCCCGAGGCCAAAGATGGTATTCCATGTCACATGCATATGCAGCATCAGTCTCAGGGACCAACTCAAACAGGAGTCTTCACAAAAACTACATATCACTGTCCTTGTTTTCCTGGTTAACTTTGTTATCAAGTTGCTGTTATAAAATCAACCTCATTTTCAAACCCCATTAGGCTTCTGCAACAAAACGACATTGATCACATTGTCTATCTTTGAAAGGTCCAGTAATGACCATGATGTAAAAATATTAATTTCTTAAGTAATTTTATCCAGTGCATTTTCAGAACATGATCTGACATTATCTCAAGATGGTGATATTTATATGCTAGAAACTACCCCATAGCTAAATAGCTGATCAGGTGTCCAGGCGCAGGAGACAAAACATGGCAGCAGGTTTTATTGAACCGTTCTTGGCTGATCACAAGCTGTGGAGCTGAGGACACTCTTCCCTCTGATTGGAGACTCAGACTTTCTTGTGCGTGTAAATATGGCATATATCGTGGACAGCTTGCTCACTGCATAACTCAAGACAGTCGACTAATTTCGATAAAAATTCTTCCAGAAACCACTGTTTTTCCTGTTGTCGTGTGCTCATATTTCTTGAAACCATCAAATTATTTCACAAGTGATACACAAAAGTTAGCTGCTGTTCTACTGCATGTAAATAATGACTAGAAAAGTGTCTATCATCTAAATTACATTTTTATATAAGAAAAATCATTTTGAGCTTCACTGGTGTTTTGATCATTTGATTTGATGATTAATATGAAATCATTCAAATTCAGTGTCAGGGAAAATGGTAATGTAAAATGCATTTTCTTCATGCAATGAGATAAATCAATGAAAAGATTCTATCATCAGATGGAGTGCTGTTTTATGACTGTGTCAGCAGTATTCCAGCTATCCTACTGCCTGGAGCCATGGCCAGGTAAACAAGGGGTTGATAGCATGAGCAGTACATGACAAGGTAGATCATACACTATGATCATTTAGTTAGCTCTGACAACACACAAAGGGTACGTGTGCTGCCATGTAATCCCCACTGGGAGAGCAGGGTGCGATTTCCCATCGACAAGACTGGATTTGGTGCAGATGGTAAATTATTCCACAAACAGGCAGATACATATCACTTGTTTTAACTTATACCATTTACCCCAGATCCAAACAAGCTAAAATAAGAGTACTTTCATTTCGCATAATGTTGAACAGTTCATGTGTACATCCTGTTCATGTACACTACACTACCAGTCCTTGCTATATAGTACATGTTAACCAATCAAATTCCTCTTCATCATTAATTTACATACAATTAAATTCCGAGAAATCACCAAACAAATCACTCAGTTTACTCTTGAGGATAAAAGAATAAAACTGAAACTACTCAGGTTTCCATCAGCTACAGAACAAAATGGCGGTCTCCATGTGATGACAGTTTATGACCTTGTGGCCATTTCTTGATAGTTTGACATCAGACAGAGGATTATATAAATTGTAGAGCATTTTAAAGACGTCCAAAAAGAACCAGTCATAACTGTCTTCCTTTTACCATTCAAACACTGTGAAATGGGACACAGTGCCCGTGGTGACGGAAGTTGACAAATGTGATAACGTGACGTCAGCTGGTCATACTGATACTGATATGCAAACAGACAATTTTGATGTGCAGTCTAGATCTAAGAAAAAGGTTAAGACTTTAAGACGTGATTATGATTAATTGTAACAGGATAAACATTAGGTGAGGTGATTATGATAACGAACTATAGTAATGTTGAAGTGTTTATGTACTTGTCCAAGGACACATCCACTGCTGAGGGCAATATAAAAAAATGACGAGTAAACTAACATTGTCATGATACTTGTTCTAATTTTCCTGTAAAGCATGTGATGCAGCCAGTTAATCTGTTGTGTGGTCAGTTGTTTACTGCAGCCTGGTGTGGTTGAGAAATAAAAATGAATCTGTTAACAGTTTCTGACAATCAGAACAATCGTTAATGGTAGTTGTATTGGTATCAAGTTATAAGGTATGTATCTTGTATAAAACCAAGCTCAAAATCACGGTGAGACATGTCTGTATGTTCTACTCACTGAGGCGCCCACTCTCTCCCTCCTCTGGTGTCATCAGACCACTTTCGCTGCCGTCCAGGCTGTCACCGTCACACACGTCACCATCGTCCATGCTGTCTTCGGGCCGATAGCGCCCCAGGTTAAGCTGTTCTGTTTCACTACTGCTGACCTTGTCGTAGCCGTACCAGCCTAGCAGCTCATTCATAGTGGTCTCTGCATAGTCCTGAAACAGACAGCGGTGTTAAGTTTGTGCATTCATAGTGGTCTCTGCATAGTCCTGAAACAGACAGCGGTGTTAAGTTTGTGCATTCACAGTGGTCTCTGCATAGTCCTGAAACAGACAGCGATGTTAAGTTTGTGCATTCATAGTGGTCTCTGCATAGTCCTGAAACAGACAGCGGTGTTAAGTTTGTGCATTCATAGTGGTCTCTGCATAGTCCTGAAACAGACAGCGGTGTTAAGTTTGTGCATTCATAGTGGTCTCTGCATAGTCCTGAAACAGACAGCAGTGTTAAGTTTGTGCATTCATAGTGGTCTCTGCATAGTCCTGAAACAGACAGTGGTGTTAAGTTCTTGCATTCATAGTGGTCTCTGCATAGTCCTGAGACAGACGGCGGTGTTAAGTTTGTGCATTCACAGTGGTCTCCGCAGAACAACAATTTCAGAATCCTATCTCAACCTAAGTCCTATCTGCATTTCCTATTTCAATCCTATCCTATTCTATTTCAACCACTATCTGACCCCAGCCTAGACCTGACCTCATCCTAACTCATCTGCTTTACCCTGATCCTATATGAACTCAACTCAAATTTCAACTTAATTATTAACCTCACCTGACTTTCTTATCTCACCCTAACTCACATCTCACCAGAACTTCTATCTCAAACTATCCCCTACCTTAACTCACATCTCACACCATCCTCTACCTTAACTCACTTCTCAATCTATTATCTCGACTGAAATTCTATCTCACCCTATTCCCTACCTTGACTCAAATCCCACACTCTCATCTCACCTAAACTTCTATCTCACCCTATCCCCTACCTTAATTCACATCAGGGGCAGTGGGGAAGCCTAGTGGTTAAGCGTTTGCTCATCATGCTGAAGACCCGGGTTTGATTCCCATATGTGTACAATGTGTGAAGCCCATGTCTGGTGTCCCCCGCCCTGATATTGCTGGAACATTGCTAAAAGCGACGTAAAACCATACTCACATCTCACCTGAACCTCTATCTCACCCTATTCCCTACCACAACAAACATATCTTACCCTACCCTCATCACAATGTGTACTATTCCTACTCCTCAGTTCAGTTGGAGGAAGCAAGGCCCCACCTTCTACCCCCTGCCCCAGGTGTATCAGGTGCCCCTTTGCAGCACCTAGCCCACAGCTGGATGAAAGTACAGTCAAAGTGCGTGGGAGGCAGCCTACACCAGCAAGGAAGCCTTAATGTGACAGCGGAAGTGTTACCCAACCCCTCTACCTTTCCCGGAGCAAGCAAACTCCCTTCACCTCCACACCCCACTTTAATTTTGCTGAATAATCTACAAAAGCGATGATCACCAAACATGCCAGGAATGTTGAGCCATATTGCTGACCCTCGGAACTGTTATCGTATATCACACATGCATGGTGCTATTTCTGGCTGTTACATTATATGTTGCATGCAATCAGCACATGTTGTGTTCTGTTCAAGATGTTCCCATCACATTGGGTTACCTCAACTATCCAGGGAAGGCTTTTATATCCTAACCTCTTCCCCTACCCATATCCTACCCCTCCGTTATACTGATATCACCTCAACTCACCCCAATTCCTCTTTCACCTCAACTCTTAACTCACCCTAACTGCTATCTCACCCTAACCCAAGTCCTATCTCACCTCAGCTCTTATCGAACACTTATTTCAACCTCAACTATATAGGGAAGGCTTGTATATCCTAAACTCTTTCTCACCCTTTCTCTGACCTCTTCCCAACTCCTAACTCATGCCAACTCATATATCACCCAACTCATATCTCTTCCCAACTCCTATCTCACCCCAACACCTATCTCACTCAAATTCCTATCTCATGCCAACTCATATATCACCCAACTCATACCTCTTCCACACCTGTATCCACCTCAATTCTTAACTCACCCTAACTCCTCTCTCAATTCATATCTCACCCTAACTACTATTTTTTCAACCTCATTTCTATCTCACCTTAATTCTTGACTCAAAGGGGGTAACTTAGGCTCCGCGATTCCCTGTGCAGAGTTGCATCCCTTGGGCACACCAGAAACCTATGATTGTGGGTTCGAATCCCGGTTCACCCCGATTATGTTTCTTAGTTTGTCAGCACCATACCCGTGCTCATGGGTTTCACCGAAGTGGTGAACATCTGACACCTGCATCACTTCGGGCTTTCCCCCACATTAAGCTGACACGCCACTATATAACAATAATACTGTTAAAAGAGGCGTTAAACCCAACTCACTCACTCATTCTTGACTCAAACGATTCCAATCTCACCCCAACTGCTATCTCATACTAACTCCTGTGTCACCCAAGCTATAACCTCACCAAACTCTCATTTGATCTGGGCGGTCGGGTAGCCTAGTGGTTAAAGCGTTCGCTCGTCACGCCGAAGACCCGGGTTCGATTCCCGACATGGGTACAATGTGTGAAGCCCATTTCTGGTGTCCCCCGCCGTGATATTGCTGGAATATTGCTAAAAGCGGCGTAAAACCATACTCACTCACTCACTCACTCATTTGATCTGTTAAGGTATATCACACATGTATGGCATTCCCTATGTTCCTTGGTTAAGTTCTACATTACAAACAATAAACAATCTCATTAAAATCAGATCTTAGTTCTCGTTACTGCTAAACAAAGATCTGAGGACATCCCATTACGGGTCACGTCAGACCGACCTTGCTCGAAATTTGACCGACCAATGGAATGACCAATCAGAAGGCAGCTTTCTCGTGCTTTACAGCACTAATTTCAAATTGACCACTACACTTCGAAACATATTTTGACAAATTCTCGATTACAAATTTGAAACCTGAACAAAAGAACATTCTGGAATGGCTTATAGATGGTCTAGATTGTATGGATTCAGTCGTTAAACCAGTAACTATCGTTCGGAATATCCCGTGTTAATGTTTTCGAGGCTGTATGATTAGAAATCACATTCCGACTGTCACTTTCATGATCTGGTAGGCTACGCTCTGATTGGTCGGATGAAAGGTCGTTCTGACGTGACCCCTAATGGGATGTCTTCAGACCTTTGTTGAGCGGTAGCAAGAATTAAGGTCTGATTTTAATGAGATTGAAACAATAAATAGAAGATATTGAGGCATTAAATGAATAACTATTCCTCTTCCCTGACCCATTTTGTTCTCGAGTTCATCATTAAAGTGAAACATGTAATTGATGGTATTTAAAATTGTATTTGAAACTTTGTTCAACTACTTAATGTTTGTCAATTTCTCTAAAACTGTAAACCACTGAACACATATCCATTGACACATGCCACTGGTTATGACAAACCTGTTTTTTAGGCATGTAAATTCCATACAGTGATATCTTGTTTCATACCTGGTGAAGAACTGTCATGCCCTGTACTAGAGGCTTGTTAAACAGCTTAGTTCTTGGTAGTCATTGCACTGCATCATAGTTATGATGTGTACAATTATTAGATTTAATGTCATGATTTTTTTCTTATCAATTTATTTTAACCAGTCGCCTGTATTGTATAACCCTTATATAATTTATTTTAATGTCGCCTGTATCGGATTGCCCTTATATATGCCAATGAGCTCACACATCAAGAAGTTATAAATGCCATATTTTGGTATTCAACTTCCCAACTTGGAAATATGACTTTGCGCAAGTTTAATGCAAGTTTGGACTCCCAAAACTATTATTATATATTGATTGTTTTCTTAAATAGTTCTTAAATTAATATAGATGGAGAGGTAGGTGCACAGACAAGATGGTGGAGGGTGTAGGATGGGGTGTTGATGTGGGGTAAGTGCACTGACAAGATGAAGGTGGGTGTAGGATGGAGTAAGTTGATGGACAGGTGGCTGTACAAACAAGTTGGTGGAGGGTGTAGGATGGGGTATTGATGTCGGAGTAGGTGCACTGACAAGATGGTTGTGGGTGTAGGATGGGGTGGTGATGTGGGGGTGGGTGCACAGACAAGATGATGGAGGGTGTAGGATGGGGTATTGATGTGGGGGTAGGTGCACAGACAAGATGGTGGAGGGTGTAGGATAGGGTGTTGATGTGGGGTAGGTGCACTGACAAGATGAAGGTGGGTGTAGGATGGGGTGTTGATGTGGGGGTGGGTGCACAAACAAGATGGTGGTGGGTGTAGGATGGGGTGTTGATGTGGGGGTGGGTGCACTGACAAGATGGTGGTGGGTGTAGGATGGGGTGTTGATGTCGGGGTAGGTGCACTGACAAGATGGTGGAGGGTGTAGGATGGGGTATTGATGTCGGGGTAGGTGCACAGACAAGATGGTGGTGGGTGTAGGATGGGGTATTGATGTGGGGGTAGGTGCACAGACAAGATGGTGGTGGGTGTAGGATGGGGTGTTGATGTCGGGGTAGGTGCACTGACAAGATGGTGGAGGGTGTAGGATGGGGTATTGATGTCGGGGTAGGTGCACAGACAAGATGGTGGTGGGTGTAGGATGGGGTATTGATGTGGGGGTAGGTGCACTGACAAGATGGTGGAGGGTGTAGGATGGGGTGTTGATGTGGGGGTAGGTGCACTGACAAGATGGTGGAGGGTGTAGGATAGGGTGTTGATGTGGGGTAGGTGCACTGACAAGATGGTGGAGGGTGTAGGATGGGGTATTGATGTGGGGTAGGTGCACAGACAAGATGGTGGAGGGTGTAGGATGGGGTGTTGATGTGGGGGTAGGTGCACAGACAAGATGGAGGTGGGTGTAGGATAGGGTGTTGATGTGGGGTAGGTGCACTGACAAGATGAAGGTGGGTGTAGGATGGGGTGTTGATGTGGGGGTGGGTGCACAAACAAGATGGTGGTGGGTGTAGGATGGGGTGTTGATGTGGGGGTGGGTGCACTGACAAGATGGTGGTGGGTGTAGGATGGGGTGTTGATGTCGGGGTAGGTGCACTGACAAGATGGTGGAGGGTGTAGGATGGGGTATTGATGTCGGGGTAGGTGCACAGACAAGATGGTGGTGGGTGTAGGATGGG